ACTTTGTAGTACAACTTTAGTACGCGGAGTATCTGGGGAGCTGGAAGATGAGAACTGGCGACTTTGCAGTACAACGGAGTATCTGGGGAGCTGGAAGATGAGAACTGGCGACTTTGTAGTACAACTTTAGTACGCGGAGCAATCTGTGGAGCTGGAAGCTGAGAACTGGCGACTTTGCAGTACAACTTTAGTACGCGGATGAGTCATCTCTCGCGGCTGAGTCATGTCTCCCAACCACCCGGCTCTCTTGAGAGGTTGACACACACAAACAGAGACCCACGCACTGCCTCAACTTAGTCGGAGACACACACAGACAGAGACTCATACACACACAGACATAGATACGCACACACAGAGACCCACACACTGCCTCAACTCACTCGACTTAACACTTCACACTGAACACTTATAACAGGCAGTGGAAGCCAGCTTGCTGGCTGCCATTGTCCAGATGGCAAAGCCAGCGCGCTGGCTACCATCATAGTTGAAGTGGGTAAGACAGCACGCTGGCTGCCATTGTTGAGATGGCAAAGCCAGCACGCTGGCTGCCATCATAGTTGAAGTGGGTATGAGCCAGCACGCTGGCTACCATCATAGTTGAAGTGGGTAAGCCAGCTTGCTGGCTGCCATTGTTGAGATGGCAAAGCCAGCACGCTGGCTACCATCATAGTTGAAGTGGGTAAGACAGCACGCTGGCTGCCATTGTCCGGATGGCAAAGCCAGCACGCTGGCTGCCATCATAGTTGAAGTGGGTATGAGCCAGCACGCTGGCTGCCATCATAGCGGAGTGGGAAAGCCAGTGAGCTGGCTCCCATAATCTAGATGGCAAAGCCAGCACGCTGGCTGCCATAGTATTCTTATATAGATGTATATATGTATGTATAGATAGTAGGTGGCAAAGCCAGCATAAAGCAGATGTTCATGAAATTGTTTCGTTTCGTGTTCGTGGCTCAAGCAGAGAGACCGCAGCAATTTCCAAGTGAGTTCGCGCAAGTCTCCACAGACTGTAGCCGGGAACGTACAGCAAGGCAAGAGTCGTGAAGAATGTACTTGCAAGAAGTTTCAACACACCTCAGAAGCTTCTCGTCAAGAGGCGCGCGGACCATGGCCAGTCTGCAGGACGCAGTTCTGCGAAACGCGGAGGCAGCGGGTCAGCAGGAGCAAGAGGGAGAGCGGCTGCGAGACGGACACCGGGAGGGAGGCGCGGCGTGGTTGCGGACCGAGTTGGAGGCCAAGAACCGCGCCGACTTGCGACGGCTGTGCGCTTTGTTGGGGCTGCCCAGTTGGCCCAGATGGTCGCCGCCGTGTCTCCGGAGCGGACAACGCAGTGAGAGTCTCCCCGACGCAGAGTGTCACCTAGATGTTCACATGGTAACTGCATGTCTCATACCACGAATTCTTCTTGCGGAAGCACGACAAGTATAGACATAGTGTCGGGGAGTCTCTGCCCTATACAAGGGCTAGTCGCGAGCTGAACGACCAGAGGATACGAAAACATGCGCGGTGCCTGCTATGTGTCACCTCGTGCTACTTTGTTGCATGTTTCTGTAGGAGAGGCGATTGGAAAATGACCAGCATGGTGGTTCTCAATTACATCTAGAGCGAAGCACATGTCACCCTCAGAGCGCCTGTGCCAACAGACTGTGCGTTTTCCGTGACTGACCTTTCGGGGCTCACAGTGACATTGCAGAAGTCTCCATACAACTTGGGCCAACTACAACAATATCAACTCAACAGCAATGAAGAATATACTAGCAAGAAGTTTGAACGCGCCCCACAAGCTTTTGCAATATTCATTTCCCACATAAACCTTTACCAGGCAAACCGAGCCTTCTTATGGCTATGCATGCGCTATTTACTACTTTACAGCCCACTAGCTCGTAGGTCTCCCTCTTTGCCCAGCCATCATGCCAGGGAACCTTGGCATTGTTGACGACCACTTCTTGTATACCAACCTGGATAACCAGAGACAGGTGTGCCTCTGTTGGTCCTATGGAAGCAGGACATACCATGACGACCAGCCAGAGCTCATCCATGAAAGATGGCCAAACCAGTCCATAGCAACCAGATGCTGGGTTGCCCATGGAGAAACCTGGCAGTTTTGGCGAGGGGTCCAGTGGTCCAGTGGATGGGAAGACTGGGTTAGGAACAACAGCCGCAACTTCACAGATGCCTACACCATCCGGATCTGCTTCGGGTGGACGCGCTAGACCCAACCAACTGTGTGTCTCATGCCGTGACTTCTTCCTGATAAATTCTGTGTGGACGTCGTTCTGCGGAAGCACTACGCTATCCTTGCTGTGTACAAAGACTAGTCGCGAGCCGAACAACGAGAGTGCGCTAAAACATCTACAGTGCCTGCTGTGTGTCACTTCACGCTACTTTGTCACGTTTTTCTCTGAAACAGTCAATTTCTCTGAGACAGTCAATTACTCAATGACAAGCATAGTGGTTGGTTATACTCAAATATCTACTCAACAGCAGTGACGAATATACTTGGAAGAAGGTTCACGCAACCCACAAGCTTTTGCAATCGCACATGAACCAGACCCTTCTTATTCCTCTTTGCCCAGCCATCATGCCAGGGAACCTTGGCATTGTTGACGACCACTTCTTCAGCGTCAACCAGGATGACCAGAGGCAGATGATTCACACGTTCTTGTTCAGTCTGCAGTGCGGCATGTGGTGATGCAATTGTTGAGATGGCAAAGCCAGCACGCTGGCTAGCATCATAGTCGAAGTGGGTAAGC